AAATCTATATCATTTTTAGTTCCGTATAGGCAACAAACACTAAAGAATTTCCGTTACGTATTGCACAGATAGAGATTATATATATATATATTTCCAAAAGAACATCAGTAATCATTCTGCTAATCCTTGCTTTCAGGTTTTCTATTTCATATTCAAAGATTTTAAAACAGCAAAACAGTTGTCCACTCAGCCTCTAGTCTAGCCGTGGAGATCGCATATGTGTTGGAGGTAAGCTGTTCGTCATTAGGCTTTTCAAGGACTACTTTCCTTTTGTCCAGACATCCAATGCCAAGCTTTCCTCTGAGGCACCTCTGTGTGAACTCAAACTTGTAATATTTTGGAGGTTTCTCAAACTGCTTTTCCATACTAGTCTGCTATTTCTTTCTTAAATAACTATGTCTTTTTTTCCTCTCTACTGTGAGCAAAACATTGACATAATGTGTGCAATAACTTTGTTAGCTGATAGACAAATACATTTAGTCATCATTTTAGAATGCCTAGGGTATGCTAACAAATGTGTCCGGTGCTTGGATACAAAAATGGATAAGCTACGCCTTTCTCCCTAAAGTGTCCATAAGTAGATTGGAGAAGACTGGTATAAAGACATTAAGAAGAGTTCGTGAAGGGCACTTCTAAATTGAGTAGATTTCACAGTAAATGAACAGAAGATAATCATAACATATAAGTCAAGAAGTGACAAGATTTCATTTGAGAGATGCTCTGAAAACCAGATTATGTTTTATTCTGAAATATGATTTTTTTGTCCATCTCTGTTTTACACATGATGAACTCTTTACCTAAAATGTTCCTCACTTTTCCACATCTTCCTATGTGTGATTTCATATTTGAAAACCAAAATCAGATCCATTCCTGTACATTCCTTAGCCATTGATCCAAACTGTCTTCTGATCTATATTATGCCTTTCTCCTATACATCAGTACATAATACAAGTAGCCACTTCATAAATATTGGTTGATGATGAATACATTTTATCTCTGTGAGCTGCTGTCAAGTCAGTCCCCAGCACTTAGCAACCCAATGTACAAGAACAAAATACTACTTTGCCCTGTATGTCCCCATAATCAATTTCAGATTGCATATTGTGATCCATAAGGCTAGTGTTACCTGGTTTTTGGAAGTACATTCATTTTAATCTGGAAACTCCACTGAAACCTGTTTAGCATCATAGCAACACACAAAGACCACTGACATAAAGATGGTATCTGTATATTAGGAACATTGGCTGGGAATCAAACTTTGTCTTCTATGTGGAAAACAAGATTGGTCCCTATGAACCATATGATTAAAGAATTGTTTTCTGCTTTCAGATTAAGGGGAAGGCAAAGAACAGATTTGGGGCAAGGATTATTGTTCTATATACCCACTCTCACTTAACATGAGTGGGTTCTAAAGACTATGTCATTATGCAAGACTATAGAATTATGTGAAAGTAGTGGATGATCACACCAGATCTCAGTACATTGTTGTTGTTTTTAAGTTCTGTTGAGTTGGCTCATTACACAAGTGCCAACTTTCTTGATAAATGCCAAACTACTGAAAGCCAAGTTGATACAAAAACTTAACTATCACAGGACAGAGTTTACTTGCACTATAAGGTAGCTGTGAGTTGGAATGAACTCAGTGGCAGTGAGTAGGCTTGCTAAGGCAGTAAATCTTTATGAGAGTCGACTGCCTTTGGCACATCTTCCATCGGAACGTAAATTCTAAAACCTATTTATCTATATGGCCTACTATTGCCTTTTCAGGAAAATATTACTTAGTGCACCACTGGCAATTAGAACTTTTGTAGGATAGCCCACAATCCAGCTTAAAATCTTAAGTATCTGCTTTTTCAAGGAGCCCTGGTGGTATCATGAGTTATGCATTGGGCCGATAACTCCAAGGTCAGCAGTTTGAAATCAACCACTCAGTAAGAAAGATGAGACTTTCTGCTCCCATAAAGAATTACAGTCTTGGAAGCCCCCAGGGGCAATTCTGCCCTGTCCTATAGGGTTACTATGAATTAACTTGATGGCAGTGAGTTTTTGTTTTTCCTTTCATCTGTTTTTGCAGCCAGCCTTCCTGAATCATTTCAGTGCTTCCTCAGGGGGTGATATTGCCCACTTTGGGAAACACTACATTAGAGGATGGTGGATTGAAACCACTGACATTTTGTTTAGCAGTGGAGAGCTTTAACTGTTACACCACCGGGGCTCCCTTGATGATTATTTCTAATACGTAATTTTACATCTGAAGATATTACATATGTATGTCCTGGCAAATTTTATTAAGCTTCCTCATGTAATAAAAGAGTTCTGTTATATGTTTTATCATCATCAAGTCAACAGGGTAACATTGCCTTCCAGTTTATAGTGCCAAAATGAAATTCACTGCCACCAAGTCAATTTTGACTCATCGTGACTCTCTATGACAGAGTAGACCTGGCCCCT